TTTAGTGGGAAAAGTGGAAACCCAAACCACGAAACAAACCAAAAAGCTAAAAAGGTAAGGTGACGGCTGGGAACCACCAAGGCAATACAGTACGATTAGCATGTATGCATGTATGTATGTATGTATGTAGGTAGGTATGTATGTATGTATGTATGGGTGTGTGTGTATGTATGTGTGTGTATGTATGTGCATGCATGCTATGCAATGCAGTGCAGTGCAGTGCAGTGCAGTGCAGTGCAGTGCAGTGCAGTGCAGTGCAGTGCAGTGCAGTGCAATGCAATGCATGTGTATGTAATATAATATAATGATGTAATGCAATGTATTGTAATGTAATGTATTGTAATGTAATGTAGTGTAATGTAAGGTAATGTATACAGAAAAAGGATAGTAGTATAGTAGTGGAGGTTTGTAGTGTAGACATGTGTAAGAGATGCTTCAAAACAAAGTACTACATCATACGGTAAGATATATATATATATCCTATACATGTATGTCGCATGAAAGTGATGGAGTGTGAAGATATCAAATTTAGTGCTTGCGCCAACTGCAAATTGTGTTTAAACACTTGCACACCTGCACACTTGGGAAAACTACGCACTAAAACCAAACCGCTATATTTGTTGGCGGGTTGCTGGCCGGCCTCTTTTGTGTTCCAAAAGAACCGTCCACCACTTTGGGCGTGTCAATTGTTGAGGGTAGCTGTTTGGGGTTGTTTTACAGGGGAACAAAAGGACACAGTTACGTTACTTTTGTGGCACCCTCATACTGCAACCCCCTTGGCAAAACCTATCCCAGCCCGGTAGTTCAAAATGGCAAGTTCCTTTTCCTTCACTTGCGGTGTCCCCTGTTCCTGTTGTGAAATCGATTAATTTTAAAGCCAACTAGGGCCAAACACACATTCTTAAGCAAATGGCAGCGTTAGCTTCCATTTCTAAGCAAAAGGCACAGTGCCCTCCCAGCAACGGAAGCGAACAGAACTCCTAAGACAATTTTCATGTTGGAAAGCCAAGCCAAGCCAAGCCGATGGAAGGGTAGCTAAAAGGTGCAGTTTTCGAAACAACCCCACCTGGACCTTCGTTCTCCTCAAAAACACCGTGCTTTCCGCCTTTGACTGGGTATTCGGGAAATCGTAGCACTTTCTGCTACAAAACCCAAACACACACTATTGCAAGGCTCGCGGCCTTTGACAGATTAAAGGAAGCTTTGCAGGGAAAAACGACTTGATGGAGCCCGCAAATTTGTCAAAACATGCAAGTGCGGTGCAGGAAAAGCGTACCCATTTTGACCGCAGAACGCCCGCAAATTTCCGCAAATCTCCCGCAACTCAGAAAAAGTGGTAGTGTTGATGATCAAGGCATCCCATGGTGTTCACTGGCACGTTGGCAAGCGCTGCGAGGTGTATTGACTTGTCTGGCCAATAAAGCACCCGGGAATTTCCCGGAGATTGAAGGTCCGGGTAGGAGAATCAAACTTGGATGGACGAAATGCGTCCGCACCACTTTGAAGCCATGGAAAGCCATAACGTTGGTGTTTTTTGGCATTTACATTGGGGAATCGAATCATTCCAGGGTTTCTGGCAACCTAAAATCCCCCAAAAAAATGGTTCGGGGCAATGACCAAAAACCAGCCCTGTTTGACGGGATTCCTTACCACGGAGTGGCAGCTTGGTGTACCATTTGCCCGTGTCCTTCTGCTTTTTGACTCAATACCGTCTTTCTATTACTTGGGTGGATTGGCTGAACAAAAAGGTCTAAAGCTTTTCTTCACCACTCAAATGGCAGTGGGGCAAAAACAGGTACCCAAAAATAGCGTGCAACTCCTTGTAAATGGAACCAAGGGCTGAAACCTGCGGTCCAATTCCTGGTGACTAACTTTGACTCATACTCAAATGAGTCACTTGCTCAAAACCCGTACCTTGAGTCTCCATGACCCCTTAAAAAAGGGGTCATTACCCCTTAATTTTGGGCAAGGACCCCATTTTCAAGGGTCATGGAGACTCCAGGTACTACAATGGTCGTCCCAGAGCCATGCTTCAAGAATTCAGAAGGCGGATATCTTCCGGCAAGGGGATCGTCCCGTAACCGAATTGTGACTCAAATCAACAAGCCAAAAGGTACCAAGACATGCTTCATTTGCCGTGCTGAGCTCAGTTCTTCAGTGACCCTGGGGAAAAAAAACAGGGATCCTGACAATAGAAACACCTGAACATTGCAACTTGTAAATGGTGGTTTCATATTTTGGTGGAAAAAGCAACATGTTTCAAATGGTTGCAAAATGCTTTTAAGGAGCCCTGAAGCAGGGATACCTTTTTGGGGCTGGGACCGAATTTTTCGTGGGGCCACAACAAATAAAAGCTCAGGTGATATTTTCAACAGCATGCGGTGCCCTTTTTTGTGCTCGCACCACCCCGCAGCCCTCACAGAACCTTGTGGAACCCTCGTGGAACTTTGGTGGAACCCTGGTGGAACCCTCGTGGAACCTTACCTCAGGGCCGCCCCGGACCACCCCGGAGCCGATCTGGGCTGAGACCCCAAAGCTTTCAGCTGTTGGGGGAAAAGGGAAAAAGGGTGCCACTGAACAACTGAGATAGTTAGTTGCCGTTCGATTGCAACCTACTTGAGTGACTTGGGCCAGGAAGCAGGTTGCAACCCAGGTTACTAACCGCGTACCAACTTGGCGAATCGAGCACCCCTTGGCATAAGGTCCGCAAACTCGGGGAGTAAGCCAAACTTCCATTTGCTTAAGCCCCTAGGAAAAATGAGAATATGTGCAATAGTGATAGATTCCCTTTAACACCAACAAGGGGAAAAACATATTCATTTCAGAAAATGGAAGCGAAGGAAATGCCCCGGGTCCCGATCGAAGGGCCGAGGGCCGAAGGCCGCAGACCGAAGGCGCCTTGGGAGAGGGTGCGCTCAGTGATCGCCACCAAGTCTGTGGAGTACTCGGAAGTCAGGGTGGTGCGCTGGGTCAGCTTCCTGCCGGATCTGCAACAGTCAGCCAGGTCCTGTAGTATGGGTGTGTCTTTTTGTTTAAGGGTACAGTACGCCTTTTCTGATGCTGTTAAAGGGAAGCCAAAAGGAAAGCCAACATCCAACAATGTAACTACAACTAGGTCCTCCACAATACGGGTACCAACTTTTTTCAGGACGACTATTTTAGTAGGGGAACCCTCCACGAAAAAAGGGTGAGAAAGGGCACTACTCGGGGACCTAGGCCTTTGTTTAATTAGCCTTTGCTTAACTGGGCTGCCCTCAGATCCCCCGCTAAAAGTAACTAACTTGTAGTGGGTTAAAAGGAAACTACCACCCAAAAACAAAACCTCAAAGGCAAAGGGGATGGCTGGGAGCCACCAAGTGAATTCGTGGTTTGGTGGTTCAGGGCAGTGTCCCATTTACCCTCTAGAGGAACCAGGGGTTCAAATCCGCAAATTACCAACCCAAAGCACCAATTAGAAGGTGCCTGAACAAAAACAAAGGGAACAACTTGTGATTCGCCAATGAAGCCGGGCTGGCCGATTTCTGATGCCCTGCTAAAAGTTAACTTTAGGCGGGTTGAATGCCCAACAAAACCAAAAAACAACTAAAAACTTAACATGATGGCAAGGAACCATTCGCCAAGATAGCAAGTTGGTGTTTCGCTTGCTTGATGGTTTTATGTTTTGGTTGTTTTTGAAGGAAACCAACAGGACCACCATCTTGGGGTCCCGTAAACAAACAAAAACACACCCAGGCGATTAACCTGGGTGATAACCTACTTGCCGGCCCAGGTCACTCATAAGTACCTGGAGTCTTCATGACCTTGAAAAATGGGTCCATGACCCAATTATTTTGGGTAATGACCCCATTTTTTAAGGGTGGTGGAGACTCCAGGTAGACTATCACCCAGGTAAGTAACCAAGCGCCCAAGTAGAGACCCTCTACTTCAAGCGCATTTTTCAGGTATTGGTTTTGGAGCTACGGAGGTGCAACAAAAAACACGTTTTTGAGGGATAAACTAATACTGCCGTCCAAGCTATTGCGGTTCCGCCCATTGTAAGCATCCATACCTACGAAAACCCATACCTGAAAGAAATGACTGCCAGTCCGATCGAACCCGATAGAGCAACCACTACAAAAGAATGGACTTCAATGGACCAGTCAATGGACCCTCTAGATAGCCCCTCAGGGAAATTGGTTGCCTACCGTTTTTTGTTTTCCCCCGCCGCGATCTGATCCGCCCATTTTTTTTAAGCAAGGGAGGGAAACATACAAAGGCGACAAAGGTAATATTGTCAGGTATCTAGACAATGCGCTATGATCAAAACCTCTGGTGTGGGAAAAAGGCAACATGCGCAGCATAACACCACATGTGTCTCTCATGTTCACCAAGTCCCGCAAATTGTTTTCTCATCATTCTCAAGTGCTTTATTCTTTATCTCGCTTCCGAGTGGACCGGCAAACATGTCCAAACTGTTTCTTTGCTACTGAAGTGATCCAAACTCGAAAAAAATATGAAGTCCAGGAACTCAGGGAGTATGTTGCCCCAGAAAAATAGAACCCCAGGTCGAACTTTAATGCGGATTCAACACTTGTGCAGGGAGCAACCCAATTGAAAAAAAACAAAAACGAAAGATCAAACTCTAATGGGGATTCATAGATTGGAGGGAAAGCAAACCCTAATAATAGAACGGGCCAACATGAAAAGTTCACGAACAACAACACAGGGCAGCGACCCACCCGCGTCGGCTGGGACCCAGCTCTCGCCGCGCCGAGCCGCGATGCTGTCCGCACACCGCTCTTCGACGTCCGAGAGGTGTGCCTTCGTCGTCGCGGCGAGAAGTCCCTTGAGCGATTCCGTTCTCACGGGCAGTTTAATGTAGGGGTGTCTGTTTCCAGGGGGACCCCCCCAAAACACAAAAAAGAGGGGGGTTGTCAAAAAAGCATGTTTAGGCGGGGAGTTTGGGAGGTAACAAAGTTTTACACCACTTGCATAGGGAGTCGATCTATATTGCCTTAAGACCTCCAAAATATGCATCTGGCAACGCACTCCTAGATGCCAGAAAACCGAGCCTCCCAAGCACAGGATTGGCGGATGGACCCAACTCTGTCGCTCTGTCGAGTCATCTCTACCTCCAGTCCCACCCATTCTAGAATCCTTACTGGGCCCTTACTGGGCTGTCCGTTTTCAGATCCCCTGCTAAAAGTGACTTGAACGGAAACCAATCACGAAGCCAACTGAAAAGCTGAACAGTTAGGGAACCCGACGGCCGGGAACCACCCAGCTTACCCAAAATATTGGGATCATGATCCCACTTTTCAAGGGTCAGAAGGAGACTCCAGGTACATCCGTTTATAGCGAGGGGTTGACCAACCATACCCTGTCGCAATACCCTGCACATAGTGTTGGGTGTTGGCTCCAGGTGAGCCTCAGTGATCACCCTTCGGCTCATGACTACAAATGGTTGCCTAGGTCCTCCAGTAGTTAGAATAAGGGTACCCTTTGTTCCGCAGTCTATTTCAGTAGGGGAACCTTCCCCCCCCAAAAAAAGAAATGGGTAAAAAGGCACTACTGGGGGACCTAGGAACAAAGGCCAGAAGGTCAAAACATGTCAAAAGGTCAATTCGCTTTGGGCAAGGCTCTTACACTTCAGGATTGCCAACATGCCAAACACAAGCGCCCATGGAAGAGATTTGAAGTGCAAATTGGGAAACACATCGCAGACCTGTTCAACCAAAGATCAAAGCTTAAAGGTGCATTTGCTTCAAGTCAGCTGGGAGAAGAAAAAAACGGTAGGAACAAATCTATAGCATTCCCTTTGAACCCAAAAAGGGAAATCACCTGGAGTCTCCATGACCCTTGAAAACTGGGGTCATGACCCCATTATTTTGGGTAATGACCCCATTTTTAAGGGGTCATGGAGACTCTAGGCAGAAACATATTCTTAACTGGGTAGGCATCATGGACAAGCCGTTCGTGAAAACCGCCGCGCGGTTCGCCCGGGCGAACCGGGCGATTCGGCGATTCGCCACGGCACATCCGGCTGGACAGGGGAGCTCCCGACACGGACACAGCCTCGCGGAGGATTTTTCGCTGTCAACCCTCCCATGTGTTAGAACCTCTTAGATCTATCTAGAGTCTCCATGACCCCTAGAAAAAGGGGTCATGACCCCTTACTTTTGGGTAATGACCATTGTTAAAGGGTCATGAAGACTCCAGGTAACATCCTAGAGCCCAAGTGCTAGAACATCTTAGATCTATATAGTCTCACCAAAATTGCACATTACGTCGCCATTTTTTTCAGCGAGGAGGGTTGGTTGAGGTCGCTGTTCCCAGCCGTCCGGTTCCTTAGGCAGTGGTTCGGGGGAGGGGGGTCCATTTAACCCCCTAAAACACGCGTCCCCTTAGGTATTTGGTGGTTATTGGTTCACTTTTTGAAGAGATCAGAAAACGGACAGCCCAGCAAACAATGGTTGGGTTAATACAACCACCTTTGTTTACCGTTCAGGATGGTTATCATCTAAAATTGGGTCGATCATTCTTCTCATGGGGGTTGAACCCTAGGGAATGCAGTTTTCCCTTCAAAACCACCAAGCGGAAATGACACATCATAATAGTAAAATACCAAAACAACAAAAAACGATTCCACTGAAAATCATCAAGCGGACTTTTTGTAAAGACCCGTTTCCCTTATTAAAACCAACAATTCCCTTTACAACCAACAAGCGGAAATGACACAACATATTACTATTAAACACACGAAGGGGCAAAACAACAAAACCAAACGGGAGATCGCGTCTTAGAGCCAGGCCCCGGGAGCCAAAACGATGGTGCACGATGCGATGGTCGGCGCCTGGTGCTGAGTGGTGATGGTGAGCTCATCGTAGCTCTTGGTGCGATCTGGCAGGGGATTTCAGGTATACGTTTTGAAGCTAAGACTTCTATACCGCCTATCTTGGCTCTCAGGGAATGAAAACTGGAATGACCCCCATAAACCATCACAAATGGCTTCATTTGAAGGAATCCCTAGGTTCGTTCCCAACACCCTGGGTCATTCCCTACTAGGCAGCAGCAACCTATGTAAGGTTGCCAGGCAATTGTTTGCCCCAAAAATCATCTTTTGAAGGAACCCATGGTTCAATACTTCTTCAAAGCCATGGCAAGGGGAAGCACGAGAAGGTTATGACTCGACCTTGATGGCTAGGATGCTCTGGCTCTGACTCAGTAGGATCTTCCATACTACGGCTTCATGTCGCTCTCGACAAGTGTGGGAGGAAGTTCTTTGGCACACCAACCCGAATCTATAAATTGGACAAATTCCCGTCAAGCCGCTAAGCAACCCTTGCGCACACCCTAAAAACTCACACACACACACACCGCCAAACAAAAAGAGGAACAGCTGAAAAGCCTCAAAATCCAAGCCCTTCCACACCACCCTCCCCAAACCAAACCCTTCAACACCACCCTCCCCATCTCCATCACTGAACGACCTGAATCATTCGGCCTGAAAGCGCTGAGGGGTGGTTCAGCGCGAGCGCCTGCCTCTCCATGTAGGGCATGTCCAGCTCCTCGCGGAGCTTACCCTCCCACCAAGCAACACACACTGTTCCAAGTTTCAGGGAATCGATCCCGGTTTCGAGCATTTTCCTTTCAAGGGACCGGATCCCGAACGTCAGGTTCCATGTTAATGGGAGGGAGCATGGGCCTGGGATTCTTCTAAGTCCTCTCAGCCCAAAAGACCTGGGTTCTACTGAAATCCGTCATTGCCATTACCCCCCCAAGTAGTGTTTTTGGGTGAAAAAGGTCGTGTTCTCGGAAGGACCCAGACACTTGTCAGGTGGTCACCTTCTAAAGTCACCAACACGCTACAAATGGTTGAGCCCAAAATCGGCACCAAGAGGTCATTGCAGGTCGATTTGCTTTGGGTGAGCGAGCTCTGGTTGCAACGCCACGCTCACGTTGCATGACCAGAACCCATCCAAACGCCCAACCCAGCAGGTTCTGAATCACTCTAGTCGACTCTTACTTCGGAGTCCCCAAACCCCAAGTCGCCATAAGCGGAAAAAAAGAGCCTTTTTTTGCTTGGCGGATTTTACAGGCAAAAAAACCCTGCAAAGAATCGACACATTCGGAAGCAAGCTGCAGGTCCGCTAAGTTCACCAGGGTAGGGTAACCCCACTTCGGATCTAGCAGTTTTTGTTGGGCCACAAAAAGCTCCCCCAAACTTGTGCTTTGCCACTATGGTTCAAACCTAAGGGTAGCTGACTCGCAGTCATGTTGTTTTTTTCCCAGCCCCGTAGGGAACAACCCCTCTCTCACGCCCTGACTTGCCATGGCTTCAACCTGGAGTCTCCATGACCCTTGGAAAATGGGGTCATTGGCCAAAATTAAGGGTTATCACTCCTTTTTCCAGGGGTCAGAAGGAGACTCCAGGCAGTCATTTTCGTGCATCCCGACGGCGCCCCACCCTTAGGCCAATGGGTCCCACGCGTCCTCGGGCAGGCAGATGACGCCCTCGCCGGTGTAGGTGGTGCCTGCGAGCACGTGGGTCCCGTGCAGCAGCGGCGTTTCCCGCTGCACCATCGCCTGGCGACACCCCACAGGGGGCCGTTGGGCCGTCCCAACCACGGGAACCTCCTCTTCGGAAAAAAAAATCGGGAGCCAGGACTGAACGATTTTCAGGGGCGGTTGCCTTTTAGGAAGGAAACAATCGTTTTGTTTTTTGTTGGGGCGTAGGTGTCTCCGGATTAATCCGAGGTTGACCTTCGGGTGTGTGCCTCTTTTTCCATTTGGGTGTGTGCCTCTTTTTCTACGGAAGTGTACGGTGTTCCTTCGGCTTTCCTTTAAAGTCACGGGGAGGGTGCGTGCCATGGACACTTAGAGTCTGTGTTGCAGCCAAGAACAAATACCATAGAATAATATGAAGGAGGTTGCAAAAACAACCTATAAGTGTCCATCATACAGGGGGGGGAGGGGAGAGTGCTCTCAAAAACGACGGCCCTGGGAATCCCCGAACTTCAAAGACAATCAAACAGCAAACTCACCGTGGATTGGCAACAAAGAGGTGACTCGAAAATGACAAAGAGGAGGCACGCAGGTGAACACTTTGGCAGTCCGGGCAATTGTTGCATCTTCACAAAATCCGAAAGAGTTGTAAGCCGGTTTCGAATATCATTTTATGCTTCACACAAGAATAGAAGACTCCTCCTGAGCTGTGGCCTATACGTGCACCTTTTTGGCAAGTTGATCTCAACGATCAGCTTCTCTCGTGGAGCCGAATCGGCGGTTTGGTGGTGCGTTTCCCATTTACCGTTCACAAGATCTAGGGGTTCAAACCCTCAATCCAAACGCAAACTAAAGATTACTTGGGCTGGCCAAAACACAAAACACCCATTTCCCCCACACTTCTCTCGACTTCCCAATATCTCCACATTTCACTGTACTTTTCGCCACATTTCCCCATACTTCTCTCGACTTCCCCACATTCACCCAACATGTTCTCTGCTTCCTATACTTCCCCACATGTGTTGATAGATGTCGCCCGACTTCCCCTTTTCGTCCACAGACTTCCCTATGCTTCCCCACCCTAGGGTTCAACCCCATTGAAAGCATTGCCTTGGGACCCAAATTAGATGATGACAATCCTGAACGGAAAACAAAGGTGGTCACATTTACTCCAATGTTTTACTGGGCTGTTCAAACTGATCCCCTGCCAAAAGTCTGAAACAATTAGTGGGTTGAAGGGACGCCCAACCATTACAGACTGAACTGGACGGCTGGGAACAGCCAAGTATCATGGTGGTCATGTTAGACCTCCTTAAAAAAAGGGCCAGGGTCCTCTCAAGCAAGTCCAAGACCCACCCAACCCCCCTTATTTTTCTCCAAAGAGGGTCCCGCTGACTGGTTCCACATTTTAAGGGGGCGGGGAAGGGAGGGAGCATTAAGAAGGGACCAGACAACCCAACCACTAAAAACCTAGTGAACCGGACGGCTGCAGCCGTGGGAATGATTCGCCCTGGTGATTAAAAGAATGGCCCAAGGGGACCCAAACTAGATCATAACAATAGGTAAAAACAAAGGTGTCTATATTATTCCCACTATAGTTTGTAAACGGTAATCTTGCTGCAGTTTCTTTTTGGTGGCAAGCCCTTGCTTACCTGCCTTCCGGGTAAATGGATCCACAGTGATTGTTTTAGTGGTGGCCTGACTGAACCGCAATGCCCCACATTGTTTCTTGTTGGTTCGCGGGGAATGAGGGAATGAGCCGTATAAACCATCCCCGATTTGGTTTCCTTTACGGGAGTCCCCTTCAACGGTTCATTCCCTCCTGAGCACCAGCAAGCTATATAAGGTTGGTTCATTCCTCTGAGCACCAGCAAGCTATGTAAGGTTGCAAGGCATTTGCTGGCCCAAGTCCTTTCAAGGGACCAGATCAATCCTTCACAAAGCCTCCCGTCCCATCGCCCCATCGACGCCACCCGGCCGTCCGCTCGCCCCCTCGCTCGCGCCTCTGTGACCACGGCGTCCACCCAGGCGGCGTTCGCGGCCTCCGGCACCGCGTCCGCCGCCTTCTGCCGCAGCGCCAACGGAAGCACCTGGCGCATAAAAGACCCGGCAGATTTCGGTCGGAAAATCTTTTGTCGCGCTGGTTGTTTCATCTTTTTTTGGGGAGGGTGAGGGTCCCCTCCTTTCCAAAGGACAAAACCTCCATGTTTTTGTTGGGGAAAACGCGCCCAAAAAACACCAACAAGAAGCATGTTGCCTACCGGAAGCAGGTGCCCTCCGAAACGGTGGGACCATAGAACTGTCGGAAAATCAGGCGAGCCTCAAAATGTTGGGCTTCCTTTCGGTCTCCCTTTGAAACCTCACCGAATTTGAGGTCGCGTTTTAGTAGGGAACTCGAGGTGGCCGTTTCGCCCATTTTGGGGCGCGGTTTTGGCCGGCTCGAAGGGAAGCCAACAGGAAACCACGGTTTCTTTTGGGATAGACCTGTGGTTTCCTTTCAAAGCCAAAATATCGGGCTCCATTTCTTCATTGGTTAATCCTCATCCTGGAATTTACGTCTCTACTCCATCTGGTGGAAAACCTGCAGTTCCACCGCTTTAAACAACAGACCCCGGCAATTGGCACCAGGAGGTTGTTTGGACAGGGTGGTTAAATCTATGGGTGTGTCTTTTTTTGGAGTTGGTACCCCTTTTTTGTAAATGGTGGCTTCCAAAGGGACACCAAAGGAACACCACCATTTTGGGGGCCCGATTCCTAAGAAAGACAAGCCACCCATGTTTGAAACCGCCAGCGCCTAACCAGAGCATTCCGCGCAATAACAAGGGGCCCAACTCCAAACATGTTGCAAGGGTATGCTTTGTCAGCGTCATCTCAGCCCCTGACTTAAGAAGCAGGTATCCAAATTGGAAAACCTGTTTTCTTCAGGATATGGGGATCAATTCCAATAGGGATCGCTTTAGAAGTGGTTGGTGGATGTCCACCAACGGCTCCCCCAATCAAAAGTCATGGACGTAGACCCCTAAAGACAGCTGGTGTCCGGTCCTATGGAATCTTGCCAGAGACTGTGGTAGCAATCCCTTTCTCGCACCTGCTGAGAAACCCCTGGAAGGAGGATTCTAAAACCCCCAACTTAAGTACCCAACAAACGGTATGGTCTCACTCATAAAATCCATTTCGCAACCTAAGAAACTCTAGAAGGAGTCGCTTCCCCAATGTAAATACCAACAAACGTTACCGCTTCAACGCCATGGTTTGGTTTCGCTCGAACGGATTTCGAAGCCATGCTGCATTCGTTATTAGGTCCTCCAATAGAGAGGTTAGAATCAGGGTACCGTTTTTTTCTGTAGTCTATTTCAGTAGGGGACCCCTCCCCCAAAAAAAAAGGTAAAAGGGCACTACTGGGGGACCTAGCAACTACAATTCCAAAAGCTGAATCCAGGGATCCCCGAGTAAAGGACCCTTCTGGATGAGCTCCTACCCCCGAATCGATGAGCTCGCTATAAAATCGGGAGACCCTGGGCTGTCCTCAGATCTCCTGCTGAAAGTTTAACGTTCAGCGGGTTAAGCGGAAAACCCAACCACGAAAACCAACTAAAACCCCAAAAGAAGAAAACAAAACGCAGGAACCGGACGATTCGCTGGGAACCAACAAGCACGGATCGCTGGGAGGACATTTGATGGCGCCTTCTCCTCCTCCTGGATCTTCTTTAAGCCAACGGCTCCTCGGACGCAAAAGGATTCCATCTGCCATTTCAGCTTCCCGTTTGGTTTCCTCATCTACTCTTTCTGATATGCAGGGGTTCAAATCCCCAAACAACCGATCCAAACCGCCCATGCAGGGTTACTTGAGCAGTTGCTTAGTTGAGTCCCGTGGACAAAGATGCGAAACACTACCGGTGGCTCGACTTGTTTGGGTGGTACCCTTTTTTTTAATAGTTTTCAAGGGATAGCAAAAGGCAACCACCCCCTCCTCTTTTTTTGGGGGGGGACTATCAGAATATTGTCCAGTAGTGAAATTGCTTCCGCGCCGTTTGAAACCAGGTAAACAGAACAAATATTGATTGGAAGTAAAGTCGATTCCCTTGAAAACCCACATGCCAACATAACAAATACTCATTTCAGCCACTGGCAGCAATCTAGGGGAACCCCACTCCGACAGAGCAGAGGAGCCAAGGAAACAAATTTCAAGGGTTCCTCTGTTGGATTAGACTTCAGCCCAGTGCTTCATGGTTTGCCCTTGAGGGATATGTCTCTTCAAGAAATGTGCCAAGCCCCCATCGGTTGCACAAAGGACCCGGAAATGAAAAGTGTACCGTTTGGAACCTGTAGGAAATTGGTTGCCCAACAGGGGAGACAAAAGGATAAAACGTCGGCTTTGGGCAAGTGAGCCCTGGGAAAATGGGTTGTTTCTTGTTGAGAACAATAAGTCAAAGAGAATGGGGAATCAACCCGAAGATTCTGTTCCATACTCCTAGGGTGCACATACTTGCTCATACCCGACTTCCGTAGCTAGACCACTGGCTTGCCTGGCTAACAACCCACTTTATAAGGGGGTATGCTTACCCCCAGAGGGGTATCAACATCAGCAAAACGTTTGGGGTCATTTACCTAAGAAGTATATTATTATATGACCAATCAATTCTGTGACGTTTCTGACCGCGGGTCCTGGATGGGTCCTGGTTCGCAAGTACTTGGATCCTACCCAGTGCTTCCAGTTGCTATAAGTAGCCAGGTATCTTCAACATACACACACACACAGACTGGATAGATTGGATTGAAATAAGGGTTCATCGAAGTGCGTGGACTTGTCGCCAAAGTAGCACCGATGTCCGGGCTTTTGAATGGTTTCAATCTCCCACACACACACACACACTTGGATACACACACACACACAAACACACCCACCAAGCCACCCACCCACCCACGCACGCCTGAACGCACGCACGCACCCACGCACCACCCACCCACACACACACACACACACCCACACATACTCACGCACGCCTGCCCGCCCGCCACCACCCACACGCACACACACACACAGACACACAAACACATCGACACACACGTCCTTTCCCTTCCACAAACAAAATCATTTTGTCGCCCCCCCCCCCCCCCGCCCCCCGCCCAGACCTCCCCTGGTGCCGAAGGCCGAGGTGCGGGGCTCTACACGGCCATAGGCCAGGGGCTTGGTGTCCACGCCGGTGCCACTCACGATCAAATCCCGCTGCGGCTCCTAACAGCTACCGGTTCTTGCTCCCAAATGCTAAACAAAAACAACTATGCTAGATGTTTTTGTTGCAAGGAAAAGTCCGGGTATGAGACTGGACTTCTGCGTGTGGGCTTCTACACCTTTCAAAAACCTGAAATAAGCATTGGATACCCAAGCAACGGACCTTAATCATAGAGAGCTCTGCCCCCAGGTCAAGGAAAAAACAGTTTCGCAAACATCATCAGCTCAATTGAGTGTGTATCTTGTATGGTAGCCCATTGGGGTCGTTTGAAAAGGAAGCCACAGGGACAACCACCATAGGGTTCGGACCCAAATCAGGCAAAGTTAGGCCAACTAATTCCATCGGAGATGCCAGGTTCCCATTTCCTGAATGCACAAGCAAAACACAAATCGCCGGGGATGTTCAACAGATGTGAAAAGGCGTGTGGATCGCATGGGGGGAGGGGGGTCTCTTTGTTCCTCAAAAGGGCGCCCTGGAGTCCCGTAGCGAAAGACCTAGTTGCTGAGAATGGTCATTTGGCCCCTGGGTTTGTCGCAAGATAGGGACATGCGGCTTCCTTTTTGAGTCAACTTTTGAAGTCATCCAAAAAGGGTACAGTTACATCGGGAAACTCGTATGGGCGGTTTCCTTTTGCAACAAAAAAAAAAACACATATGGATGACAAACAACACGCGCAAGGAGTCCTATCAAGGGACAAACAACCATGGCCTACATTTGATCACGGCACATGTGGGTGTAAAGGCTCTTGAGGGTTGCCCATGCTTTGCTTGTGTTGGGAACCAACCTATCTTATTCCGCCAATTGGAGACCAACGGGGTGTGAAACAACTACACGTTATCCTAGCTTGGGGGGTTTCCTTCTTGGGCAACTAAACATGGGCTATTGAGCAGCCCACATGTATAAAAGGCATCACCGTGCCAGACTTAAGACTTGGATGCGCTGCAAAAGTCAAGTGATTCGCCGGTTGAACCATTGAAGGAAGCAGATAAAGGTGGACAAGGCCATTTATATGGTATAATTGAAACATGTGAGCTATGTAGCACCCATTATGTAACCCAACTACAAACATAACCCAACTATAAACGGCAAGCCCAACGTCGAAAACTCACACACGAAAACCTCTCCATGTTCCCTCTCCATTGCATGTACAAAGGCCTTTGCCCCGAAACCACCGGTATGTTTTATTCAGGCCCATATGTAGAATACCTTAAACAAAACATAACAACACTAAACAAACTTAATCCACCCAAAGGCTCCAGATTGCTTTAGGGCCTTTGAATAACCTGGTTTTGAGACCCCCAACCACCTCCGGGGTGTTTAATGCTTCGGGGTCGGGTCTTCCATTCAAAGACGAAGCCGATCGGAGCCTCTGGGCACAAAGATTTCCCTGGAAAGTTGCCAAGCCCAATCGGGTCGCCTACCGCATTCCCTTGGGGCCTGGTCTAGTTTCGGTCCGAAGGAATTGTTCGCCGTTCGGGTCACGGGTCGTTTTCTCACTTCGTGAGTGAGTCGATCAAACAAGTGTCCAAACGGATTTTTGCCACTAAACTCGTCTTCCCAAAAATGATTCAAGTCCAGGAAATCAGGACGTGACAACAAAGTACCCAGAAACTGCGTACCACTAAAATAGCCCAGGAAGTCAGTTCCTGGACCCTCAAACTACCCCAAACAAAAGGGAACTCACCAACCATAAGCTTGGGGCAGTCAACCATGCTTAAGTTGAAGTTTTGAGGGTCCAGGTGATTTTGCTTGTCACCCCCCCCACCCCACCCAGCCGACTCTTTTCTCCGACCCAAAAAAAAGTCCAGTCCAGGAGGCTGGCAAGTGGTTCACCGTTTGTTTGCTTTTCACCCTATCACAAGGTAGGGGGACTCCCAGGGGGAAGTGGGTGATAACCTAGGCTACTAACCACTTACTACCTTTGCGAATCCACCCAACCGCTTTGCTCCGTCTCAAAAAAGGCAAAAAACAGTAAGTCCAGGAGGTTTGTTGGGGTTTTGTTCACCCTATCACTGATACTGTGGATGGACAAAGTCCTGCACCACTTTGAAACCATGGGAAATCGTTGCTTGTTGGTATTTGCAGGGGAATTATCATTCCAATATGTTTCTTGCGTGGTGCGAAATGGGTTTCGTCCATCCACAGTATCACAAGGATCAGTGGGCGATCACCTCAGGCGAAGCGAGCGCCCGGCTCGGGAGACGAGGCGCGATGAAGGTATCGGAGGCCACGACGATGGCCTTGGAGCTGTGGAAGAGCGGGTCGATGGCCTCCTGAGGCACTGGCTCAACACTCCGGGAGTAAAATGGTCGTAACCCTGGAGTCTCCCTAAGGACCCCTGAAAAATGGGCTGGTCATGACCCAAAATAATGGAGTCGTGACCCCATTTTTCAAGGGTCATGGAGACTGCAGGTACCCAGAATCATGCAAGAATTTTCAGAAGGCGGATCTCCGCAGCTATTTACATAAAAGGGGATTGTCGGTAACCTTCATCAATCCCCGGGTTTTGAGCACGTGGCTCTCCTGGGCTTTCGGGTTTCAGCGGAGGTGCTGAACCCCGGCCCTTGGATGACCCACACACTCGGGTGACTCGGGGCGCAAACAGTTCGTCTTTTTGGGACTACTCAAGTGCTGACTTGGTGGACGTTGGAAGGGGAGCAAACGTTTTTTTGTTTTTTTTTTACAGTTAAGTGGCTGGGGAGCAAAATTGGTTGACGTTGGGTTTGGGGAGCAACACATACTCAAATCTTAGCAGTTAAGTGGTTGGATATGTCAAGCACTAAACCACAATAAGCAACAATGGTAAAATGTGTCCCAACAACAAGCATGCTGAACCACCCCCAACCCCCCGGATGACCACAGATTCCTCGGGTGCGCAAAGAGGTTCACCAATCTTGGGACCTGATTTTTGCCCGGTGCTTGGCTCTCTTCAGGGATATGTCTCAAGAAATGGGCCAAGCCCCTGCTGCCCCTTAGGGACCCGGAAATGAAAGGTCCACCTGGGACCTCTAAAAAAAAAATGGTTGCCAAGAAGGAGAAACCAAAAGGTTGAAAGGTTGTTTCGCTTGAAGTCAACTTGTGAGGCGAAGGATCACGAGGTGAAAAAAACGATCTCAAACGGCGTTGTGGCAAGTTTCGTGTGCTCATCGCACATCCAAATGAGCAATCCTATGAACTTTGAACAAAACTTTGACCCCTAGATTTCAACCCCCATTAAAAGAATGGATAGCCCAATTTAGATCATGACAATCCAAAGGTAAACGCAGGTAGTTATATTAACACAGCAATTGTTTAATGGTGGTTTGAAGCCCAAGGGTTTGAGGTTCAACGATAGACTCAATAGGTTTAAGGATTTGCTTTTGTCAAAACTTGAAGAAGAACCAATACCCAGCTGGTGAATTTTAGCTTCAATTCAAATACTGGATACCCAGCTTTAAAAGAAAATGATGCCAAACCAAGAGAAGAGGAGAGATACTTACGATGGAATACCAGGCTTTTCAACATATACCCTTAAACAAGCAGGTGCTCGGTGTAGGGTTTAGCAGTTTCCAACGTCTCCCTGCACCTCCGCTGAATTTCCTTCCGGAAAAAAAAAGGCTCCTTTAGTGGGGTGGCTGATTCTACAACACGAAAAGGATACTGGATGTCCAGGACTGGGCCATGTACGACTGAGTGTGTACCTAGTTGACTTTGGACGTGTTTAACGAGTTGTTCATTTGTTCAGCTTCCACCATGGGCCCCAGTTAAAAAGGGAGCCGCAAGGAAAAGAAGGCCTCAAATCACTTACCTTGTAATTACAAGAACCAGGGCTTATAATACCCAAACCACCAACCCAAACCACCAAAGAAGCAACAATCCAGATACAAAACTTGTCCAAGCCAACGTCCCAAACCGCCAAAGAAGCAACAATCCAGAAAATACAATGCCCAAATCACCAACCCAAACCACCAAGAAGCAACAATCCAGATAAGAAAATGCCCAAACCACCGTCCCCAACCGCCAAAGAAGCAACAATCCAAAAAATCAAATGACCAAATCACCAACCCAAACCAAGAAGCAACAATCCAAAAAATCAAATGACCAAATCACCAACCCAAACAAAGAAGCAACAATCCAGATAAGAAAATGCCCAAACCACCGTCCCAAACAGCCAAAGAAGCAACAATCCGATAAGAAAATGCCCAAACCACCGCCCCAAACCGCCAAAGAAGCAACAATCCAGATAAGAAAATGCCCAAACCACCGCCCCAAACCGCCAAAGAAGCAACAATCCAGATAAGAAAATGCCCAAACCACCGCCCCAAACCGCCAAAGAAGCAACAATCCAGATAAGAAAATGCCCAAACCACCGCCCCAAACCGCCAAAGAAGCAACAATCCAGATAAGAAAATGCCCAAACCACCGCCCCAAACCGCCAAAGAAGCAACAATCCAGATAAGAAAATGCCCAAACCACCGCCCCAAACCGCCAAAGAAGCAACAATCCAGATAAGAAAATGCCCAAACCACAGCCCCAAACCGCCAAAGAACCTGCAGAACTGCCCCGTGCCGCCCAGCCCGGCCTTGAAGACCCCCAGCTTGCTGAGAACCATGGCCACGCAGACCAGCACGAAGGGCACCGCCGACAAGCCTCCTGGAAGCGAAGGGTTGGTCTTCTTGAACTAGTAGCAGTAGCAATAGTAGGAGGGGGAGGAGTAGTAGTTATTAGTAGTTATTAGTAGTCATTATTACTATTATTATTAGTAGTAGTAGCAGTAGTAGTAGCAGCAGCAGCAGCAGTAGTAGTAGTGGTGCTGGGCTGTCCTCAGATCCCCTGCTAAAAGCTTATCTAACTTGTAGTGAGTTAGACGGAAATTCCCACTAAAGCCTGAAACCCTCAAACTTGAGGGGACGGCTGGGAACAGCCAAGTGGTAGTAGGAGGAGGAGGAGGGGGGGGCGGAGTAGAAGTAGTACAAGGACCCATCACTCCATGCGACCAAGGCTTCCGTGTTGGCAGGGTGGAAAGATAGAAAGACGCCTGGTGGTTTCAGTGGATTGGCCGAGTGCCATGAAAAAACACAAAGTCCATGAACATAGGGAATGAGGACAAGAAAGCACCCCAAAATGACGCCCCTTCTGCTTCACCTCTTTTCCAATCTCCCCCCTCATCCAACCCAACCCAACCAAACCCAACCGAACCCAACCATTCCAACCACCACCCCGACCCAACCAAGGCAACCTCCCAAGCGACCAACACAACCTCCCAACTCAATCCCCGCCTATGAGCCCCCAGGGCGGTGGCTCAGGTGGCCGATCCTGAGAGCCCTGAAGCATGTCTTCCCTGCTAGGCTGCAGGGTGGACCTACGCGGCGCAAGGGAAGGCTTCGGACCTACACTTGAAGCTCACACGGGTACTCCAAAAGTATCTGGGGGTTGATCAATATTCCCTTCCGCCCCCAAAATGACCCTGGGTAACTTTCCCATGTGCTGACAGAATCAAACCCTTCTTCGCTGGTCTCCACTAGGAGGGATGACTACAAGGACCTTTTGATCAACTCCCTGAACTCGCTTCATATTTGTCCAACCCCTCTCGAGGAGACGCCAGCCTGGGTCTTGGGATCTGGACACATCTGAAATTCTGAGCACCGCTTGAATTTCCTTTTGTATTGAACATGTCGGCTACCACGCAGTCCGAAAACCCGTTTTTGGGGTAGAACTTCGGCCTTGAAGTTGGAGGCAACTAGCAAACCGATTTTCAACTAGCAAACCGATTTTCTTGCTAGTGCTCAGTAGGGAATAAGGGAATGAACCTGGGGATTCCCTTAAAGGAAAAGGGATGGTTTGCAGGGTCAGCCCGCCCTTCCTGAAGGGTGGTAGCAGGGATTCCAGTTAATTACCCACATAGTGATTGACCTTTTGGTTTTTAAATAGTTGTTCCCTTCGTTACCTACTATACAGGTAAATGCATCCACTGGGAAAAACAAACAACACGAGTGTCGACCCAGCCCCAGAAACATCGCGAGCGCGAAAGAACGGGACATTTCAGGAAAAGGCTGGGGTTGCCGCAAATGGAGGCAAATCAAACAATGGCCCAGCCCCTGTTGGCTTCCCTTTGGGGAAATGCCACACACATATACTTTACAACCCTTGGTATCGTAGCAAAAACACTTGCTTTTTGCAAACACCCACAAGTCCACAAGAAGCAAAGCTCCGTTCATATCCATTTTACAGATCACCCTACTGTTGACCGTAGGAGAAGGAACAGGCACCTAAAATAGGGCACTTTTGTTGCTCCTCGTCCCATACATCTTGCCCAACTTGCAGTCTGAAAAAAAGGACCCTACTTTGTATAGGGGGTATGGAGGTATTTACTGTAGCTGAAAAAACCAAACATAAAGACACATATGTGACATGCGGTCAAAGTTAGTTTCCGCAAGAGGCTATGAACCTTTTAGTAAGCCCGACTACCAGTTGACCGAACCTCATACATTTGTACTTTCGACGTTTATACTTTAGTTTTCGAAACTGCCCAGCAACAGCTGGGGAAGAAAAGGACCACCTTTGGGATGAAGAACGATACCACCACTCCTCGCTGATCTGTCCCCCTCTCCCAAAAAAACAGCACAAAACAAGAGACAACTACCTCCACTCCTCACTTCCTGAGTTGGTTGCCCCCCCCCCCGAAACAGAAAAAGAGGAAAAGCTACCTCCACTCCTCACTTCCTGAGTTGGTTGCCCCCCCCCCGAAACAGAAAAAGAGGAAAAGCTACCTCCACTCCTCACTTCCTGAGTTGGTTGCCCCCCCCCCCGCAACAGAAAAAGAGGAAAAGCTACCTCCACTCCTCACTTCCTGAGTCGGTTGTTCCCCCCCCCCCCAAAAAAAAAAGCGGGAATCAAAGTGGTTACCCCCCCCAAAAAAAAAACTGAAAAAAAAAGCGGTTGACCCCCCCCCACAAAAAAATGAACAAAAACAAGTGGTTGCCCCTCCAAAAAGAAATAAATAAAATAAATAAAATAAAACAACACCGACAACACCGCTGTTCTTGTTTGCCAAGACGGTCTCCCACAAAAGCTGAACAAGACTTCCAGCAACTCCGGGTGTGGGACTTCACAAGTTCACTTGACCGGCTACAGCTTGTTCATCCATTTGCTTAAGTCCGCTGGAAGAAAATGAAGAGATTTCCAGAGATAGATTCCCTTCAAAATCAAGAAAGGAAAACAATCAATCAATATTCTGAAGCAAATGGAATTCACTTTGTTCGGCCCTACGGTGGATAGTTGCAACATCCGCTCGCACCGCGTTGCGTCCGTGGAAACTAATGTGTGCGTTGGTATTAACAGGGGAATCATCCGAATAGAAGGTTTCTGAACGGTGGTCAGGGGTTGACATCATCCCTACTGTGGATGGACAAAATCCTGCACCACTTTGAATCCATGAAAACCATTGTTTGTTGGTATTTACAGGGGAATCGAATCCTTCCAGGTCTTCTTAGCTGGCGTAGGGTTTCGTTTATTATCTTTATTATACTCTGAAAATGGCCGTAGAGTGGGCCCGCGAAGCTCTAAGACGAGGGAGTCCTACTTGGATGTTCAATTCAAGCTAAGTTGTTGGTACCATTTCGGTTCTAGCTAAACAAGTCCCCCATGAATGCGAGGATAGCCTTGGGGGGGCTGAGAAACCCCAAGGACGTTCCACGGCACGGAACCTCGAACCGGCCTCAAGCCCTCGGTGATCGCCGGCTCCTTGTTCACAACGGCCGGGCAGCCTGACCGGTTCAGCCGACGCGCTCGGGAAGCGTGAAAGGGGCCCACCAAAATAGGGACCTGGACCCTCAAGCTAAATATGGGTGTTGGTCAAAAATAGGTCCCCGAAATGGAACACTGGCAATTGGACACATGGACAAAAACCTGCGATCTCCTGGCGGTTGAATTTCCGCCCATAGCCATAAAGAATGGAGTTCGCATCGTAACTTTGAACGGCAATCATCCTTGTTTAAGTTCTACACATACAAAAAGGGGAATTCACTCACTATATGTTTGGCATGTTTTTACAAGTTGGAATTTTGAGGGTTCAGGTCTCCTTTTGGCTGAGGCAGGGAATGAGGAATGGAACTATCCCGCAAAACACCAAAATCCCCGCCTTGTGTCCAATCCGTACAAAATGAACGCCTCGTACGTCGCGTCCCTCGTACCGTACCCACAAAGGGAAAATTGGACTTGGGGGGAATGCCCTCTCCCGTTTCATAGATTGCCTACAAGGCAGGAGGAAACGAGAAAACACAAAAACCGTTCTACATGTTTAAAAAAACACGTTGTCCGTGATAAATACCAGCCTTTTTAGTCGGCGTTGACATCTACCCCCGCTCCCCACCCACCAAAAAAAAAGAAACAACAACAACCACATCATCATAAACAAGTATTTGGAGTCCCCCCGCCTCAAAGATTACAACAAGAAACACACAACTAGGCTGTCCTCAGATCCCCCGCTAAAAGTTTAACTTCTAGCGGGCTAAATGGAAAACCTCACTAAATACTAAAAAGTTAAAAAGCTAAGGAGATGGCTGGGAGCCACCGAGGTAAACACAAAAAATGGGAACCGAGGGTATGACTTGCCCCAGCTTCCCTTTGAATTCCACCGCGCTCCCACTCCGAAGCTATCGGAACTGGGCCATCACTTCCATTTGGTTAAGACCCCCGGAAAAAAAAAGAAGAAGTATAGTGATCAATTTCTTCTAAAACCAACCAGGAAAAATACAAAAACACACACAAAAACCATGTTCATTTCGGCCAATGGAAGATTTCTATGCCATCCCCACGCCTGCGACGACATCGTCGGGGTTGTTGCAGCTGTCCATGGAGCAAGTCTTCAAGATCTGCTGATTGCCGATCCGCGTGTACGCGGAGATGCTGCGGTTCCGCTCCAGCTCCTCTGCGCCAAGGAGCTGGGGGCTCCGACGTTTTTTTTGTTTACCTGGAGTCTCCATGGCCCTGGAAAACTGGGGTCATGACCCCATGATTTTGGGGTGTGACCAACCATTTTTAAGGGGTCATGGAGACTCTAGGTATTTTTTTTCCAGGGGGGAACGCCAAAGCAAAAAGGGTGGACTTACAGGAAAATTCAAAAGGAACCAAGGACTGTTTGGGTGCTTCCGGTTTCTTGAGACAAACCCAAGCCTTTTGACACGTGAAACCACAATGTGAAACCACAAGGACCGAGAAAACCAGAAGGACAACAGGGATCCGACCAGCAAAAGGTTGTCATTGGTCAAAAGGAAGAATGGACATCCAACAGAAGGGCAAGCAAAGTCTGAATAGGCTCCAAGGACCCTTGGGAAAATTGTTGAAACGAGGAGGGACATTGGTTTCGCTGGGGAAGGGAAACTAAGGGGAACCAAACCAATTTCTCAGCCCCGATGTGCAGTTGTTTGAAAATCAAACGAATCGATTCGGATTTGAGTCCCAAGGGGGTCACGTGGTCAAAGCTTGAAGCCGGTACCCGTGGCCTTGCTTCCACGAATTCAAATGCCCAGATTTGTTCAAGAATTCAAATGCCCAGATTTGTTCAAGGACAAATTCTGAGGAGCCAGATTTCCGTCAAGTAAATATCTCCTTGAGTCAGGGATTGACTGCAAAAAGCTGGCCTGGCCCAGTGAGACAACTGCGGACCTGCCCCAGAAGAACAAGACGTGAAAACAGCATGAATGTCTATCGCACGCCTTTACCGAATTGAGCGGAATGCGCAAAATATTGTCCGAGGTTCTTCCATTTGGTTCAGACTCCTGAAAAAAAAAGAACACATTTCCAGTAGTGATAAATTCCTTTGAAAACAAACAAGGAGAAAATAAAAAAGGGTTTGGAAACCACTAAAGACCGGGAAAAGCTTCCACACCAATAACTCATCTCACTTCCGATCGAATGGACTGACAACAAAACCAGCTCACACACTTTGAAGCCGGCTTTAGTTTGGTCCAAAACCCCAAAAAAGTGACGAAAGTCAAAAGCCACGGAACTCAGTGAGTGAGAAGTGTCCCTGTGCTTTTTCCCGACTCGTCCAGAAATGGCTCGTTGCGCGGGTACCGACCCCGGCAAGAAAGTTTCCCGCGAGCTTCGCCCAAAACCGATTCAATTCCCCGCGGCCTGGAGCAAGGTCTCGCAGGAGCCCTGAGCTGTACCCATGAATTGGCACTCCGCAGTGCCCCTGGAGTTGAGGTACAGGAAGCTGCAGCACGCCTCTGGGACCGGTCCAGTAGAGAGGATAGACACTTGGGACCTGAAAAGTCCGTCCTAAGGAACTTTAGGTCCTCCAGTAGAGAGCTTCGAAGGGTACCCGATAAATGTTTTTCCTGTAGTCGATTTTAGCAGGGGGGTTCCCTCCCCCAAAAAAGTTGGTTAAAGTTGGCACGAACCTAGGTTGGGATCTGAAAACTCCGTTTGTTTTTGGAATCCACCCCTCCCCAGAATGAAAGAGGGCGGAGGCATCCACCAGAAAAAAGTCGGAGGCTTCAGAGCATAGAATCTCGAAATTCTGGGGATCCCAAAATTGGTTTCCTCTTGGTGTCCCTCTAAACCAACCCAGAAAAGGTCATGGGTCGAACAAAAACCGAAAAATCCGCCCAAAGAAAACTGGTTTGCTGGTAATTCTCATATGGCTTGTCTAAACACTAGGAAACACCACACAATTGAAACGGCTTCCTTTTGGCGTCTCTTCAAATGAGATGAACCCGCACATAGAGTTGGAACCATAACCCAGCTTTAAGAGGCTGAAACCCGAAAAACAACAACTTCGAAAAAGGCAACAAACTCTTTGTGCAGGCCATCATTCCAGGTTTTCTGAACGGTGGTGCCAAAATGGATATCGCAACCATCCACAGTATCGCACCAGCAAGAAAATGGGGTTCCCTTTAGAACCACTCTTGCCAGTGGTGCCGTTTTTGATTTTTCTTTTGGGAAAGGTTCCGATTCATTGAAAGACAACCAACGAAGAAATGGACGCATCCTTGTTTCCCCATGGAACTCCACCGGGCATCTGAGGCAGTTTCCCCACTTCTGTGACATCTTCGGGAATCCCCTCTTATGCAGGGGTGGAACGCCTTTGGGAGGCCCTTTGTGTTGCACAGGTCGTGTTGCACAGGTCGTGTTGCACAGGTTGTGTTGCACAGGTTGGACAGGCTGTTCGGTCCAAACCCAACAAAAAGCGTCGAGTCCAACTCAGCTGAGCTCAACATCCACCGGACTTCGCCCCGTCTGACGGGACTGCCCGGCTTTTTTTCTCTGGCCGGAGGGGCTGTGAAGGGCCGGCCGTCGATGCTCTTCCGGTTCTTGCAGAAGTTCCACTCGAAGCGTCCGTCCTGAAAAGGAACACATCCGGTCCGGAGAGAGGTTGGAAGAAGGGTGCCCTTTATTCTGTAGCCTATTTTAGTAGGGGAACCGAATCTCCCCCAAAAAAAGCCAGTAAAAGTTGGCACTGGGGGACCTAACAGATCTAAGCCCTTCTCCTTTCCGATCCGGTGAATTGGAAAAGGCCGCCAACCCCCCCCCCAGCCCGAAACGTGTTTGCTGGTTGAAATGAACCACACCCATATGGCTGAGATGGACTTTGATTGTGACTCAATGTTGCACACATCTCTCGGGTTGATTCCCCATCTTCACCCACCTTCAGTAGAAACCCATGGTTGCCAGCGGAGTGGCCCATATTTTGAGCCAGCGGGATCCCCGATATGGGGAAGGTACGCTACCCCCTGCTCCAAATACCTGCTGCTTTGTGGGTTGAGTCAGGAGTTGACTTCACGGAATCAAGCCCTTCATGTATGCTTAAGTCCCCTAAAAAACAACAACCAGATATGTCCAGCATTCAGTTTTAGATTCCCTTTAAAACCAACAAGGGAACATAAAACCAGATTCTTAAGCAACTGGAACATACCCCCACCATATCCTGAAAAGCGTGGGCATTGGGTGTAGGGCATACATCTAATTACAAGTTGGATCCTCTAAATCAGCTTGGTGCGATTCTCTGGCCCTGAAGAAAGTGGGCATTGGGGGGTTCATCTAAGAAGCCGTGACCAGGGATCTCGCGAGAAAGTTTGCCAACCCCCCTGTTTGTTGTGGGTTTTTGGCGAACGTCCTGGAGAGCAGACATAGATTCCTCTTTAAACCCAAGCAGGGGAATATCAAACAGATATATCCTGAAATGCAAATGGAACAAAACAAACACCATACCCTGAACAAAGGTATGTATACCCTATCATACCCTTTGGTTTTCCTTCAAAACGACCCTCCCCCCCCCAAACCAAAAAAAAGTGGCCTCAGAAAAGATGAGCCAGCCATATCAAGCTGGAACCGGAATCGTAAGGGTCCCAAACCCTGAAAAGAGTGATGTGCCCCCCCCAAAAAAAAACCTAGTTGATTTGCTTGCGGTTTATTTTAATACCACCATCCAACAGGGGCACCCTTTTTTCAGACAGTATCAAGCTGTACCGGAATCATGCGGGTCCCATATCCTGACAAGAGGGAATCCTACTGTGGATGGACGAAATCCTGCACCACTATGAAACCATGGGAAACCATTTTTGTTGGTATTTACAGGGGAATCATCATTCCAGGGTTTCTTTAGGTGGTGCAGGATCCTATGGGTCCCACACGAGTCGTGGGTGACTCCGGGTGCTCGGTCCTGACACTGCGTCAGCACGTCGGTGACCCCGATCTGGTCGAAGGGGCCCTCGAAGCACTCGAAGCCAAGCTCCGGGGATTCCTACGGAAACCCGAAAGAACAGCCCAGGAAAAAGCGAATTCACCAGCCATAGTGTTGGTTGGCAAAAAAAAGTAGCTTTAAGTGAACTTCATGGGTCTAGGTAGAAGTTGTTTGACTTTGAGAAAGATGTAAGATGGGGTGTTTGTTTTTCACTCGGGGCGTTTCTACACCCAATACACCCAATGAGAGGCTCACACAGGGCAGGCTGTCCTCAGGCTGCCTCATTACAGCAAACGGAGGGTGCTTCCCTCTCGAAAGATGCCAGGACCCATGACGGAAATCATCAGAGATCAAAACGAAATGGAGACTTGAGAAGACAATGAGCGGCTTGAATCGACCGGACAACTTGAATCGACTATTGTTGCAACCACATAAACTATCACCTGGTTGATCTAAGTAATCACTATGTGTTGATTCAGAGACACATGGGTGTGTCTTATTGTAGAGGAACTCTTCAAACCAACCAATACAGGTATGCTGAAACAGACACACCTACATGGGGGTGATAATCAAAACCTGGTACTAAAATGGTGCACCCAGAACCATGCAAAGAATAAACAATGCGGCTGATCCCTTCTTAAGCTTGATCTACCCGGGTGTTGAGCAAGTGGCTCATGTGGCGAACCTTAAAATGCGAAAGACTAGCAATACATGGCCATGGGTCAAAATCCTGTACCCCCAGTGAACATCCCAATCCCCACTAAAATAGGTCCTAAAATGGGTGGTGAATTCACCTACCAACCAAAATGGGATCAACCAAAACGGTTTTGACCACCACAGCCGACATGGCGCCATCTAAACCCGAATGCCAGACTCAGCTTCCGCGGAGGCCATCCCAGGACACCGAAGCCTCATGCTTTGACGGCGGACATCACTTTGCCGCCGCCAAACCTCGAAATTTAGACCGTTCTTCCCTGTCCCTAAAAACCCAAACGGTGTTTTTTTGGCCACTAACGTGGTCTTCCCGAGACTTTCATTTGCTTAGGCTCCCTGGAAAAAACATGTCCAGTAGCGATAGATGGATGACCTTTAAAACCAGCAAGGGAAAACTAAAAAGTATTCTTCGGCAAATGAAAGACAAGTTGTAAGTCCAGGAACTCAGGAAATGAGCCCACACGAACCACAACCTGAACATTTGTTCTACGGAATCTCATGGTGTGATGTTGGAGGGTTGTTCTTGACCACACTTAGACCCCCTGCAAAAGATTTGTTTGTTTTCTGGTTGAAAGGAAAAATGAAGGAAAGCCAAAAGGGTAGTCTAGCAATGTGCCAGTGGTTTTGAGGAGAAATCAACCTGTTTCCCGCGTCATGTTTGGGCCTATTTTGACACACGGGCGTAGGTCCCCCAACCAACCAAAAGGAAATCCAAATCCCACTTTGAGGATTCCTAGATGCCAATTTGGTGGTTCTTTTTGTGGGACCCCTTCTGGGATTGGTTCAAAAGGAAACCAAAGGGAAAAACCGTCAGATCTGCAGTCCTCTATATTAAGACACATTTAGACACAAACCCATCTGGCTGTGGCTCAAAAAACCGGTACCCAAAATGGAGCCCTGGTAAGTGGAAACATTCACCAAAACCTGCGGTTTGCCCCTCCTGATTAATGTTGATCCACACCCATCTCCCCGAGCATCCAAACTCAGCTCTTGCGCGAAATGGGCCAGCGCCCACTTTCGCCATTTTGCCCGCACCTGCACCGGGCAGACCCGCTGGTCCGTGAGCAGGCCCGTGAAGGGGTTCATGATGAACTCCTCTCGGTTGCTTTCTGCTCCCCTGCTAAAAGCTTAACTTTTAGTGGTTTAGTGGAAAACCCATTAGTTGGCAAAAAAATAAAGTCCTAACAGCCAAGCAAAATGCACCAAAGTATTGACAACCACAACAAAGGGGTACTTTTTGAACATCACACGAGGGTAGCTCGACTTTGAGGGTACTCCTTTTGGGTTCCTTTAAAAGGAAAAACCAAATAAAATATTGGAGGTTTTCTGCTTTGAGACAGACCCGCATATTTCAGATTACGGCTCATATCTAGTCTACCCCAAAACATGAAAGTGTTTAGGAGACCACAGGCATTGGATTCAAAATCAATGGGAAGGGGGTTGTGCCAACTCCGGAACAAAGGGTTAAGCTGAATGATTGCTTGGTCTTGTCCTCTTCAGGTCTTGATGCAGTGTTTAGACTAAACAATTTACCCCCAAGTAAGCTCGCTATAAATTATTCTGATTACGTCCCATCCAGGGAATTCCCGCTTAGGAGAGAAACCCCAAAAAAGTCCGGCAGGTGGATTACTCCGGGGCCAATGGTTGCCCTACCCTGGGACCGAAAGCTCATGGGGGGTCGAAAGATCATGGGTCATGGGTCCCAGTTAGGGCCGTGATGGTTTCAGTAGAGGCTGAGAACTGCTATCGTCTTGTCAGCATGAGGGTGGTTTTAAGAGTCACAACCCTGTGTTTAGCAAAGACGTGGTCTCCAAATTGATCTCATGCAGATTTCCGAAAAACAACACATGGCTTGGGTTAGTTTAACATCAGCGATTGACTCTTTTGGTATGGGGTGAAGTAATGTGTTGAATTAGTCACCCGATCTCATCTGTGGTGTTTGTTGCCTCATTGAAAGAAGCTTGCCAAAATGAAGGAGCCCCCTAGGATGATATTAAAAAGACATACGGTGGGTGGACAGAATCCTGCACCACCATCTCAGCATTGGGTTGCATGCCCTCGCGCTCCCTTTTTAATATTGGGAGCTGAAAACACGCAGAAGGAAAAGAAGTTGAATGGACGAAATCCTGCACCACCTTTACAGCCCATCAAAGCAACATTGAATATGGGGAGCGGGGGGTCCTTCTACACCCTTGTTTAACTCGTTGATTTAAGCGGTGCAGGATTTCGTCCACCCACAGTACCCCGGTAAAGGTGCAGCATCCGATCAGACGGGTTTTGCAATCCGAGGCTTCGACAACGATGTGTCACGAATTTGAAACGCGTTGATCCATTGGCGACCGTTTTGCGAAATTGAAAAGTGTTGAATTAAAGTCCATACCGGAGTACCACATTTGAAAAGCACCGAGCACACTCAGTAATATGCTTGCTAGAGGGAGGCAAGGGCTTGACAAAGCGGTAGATCTTGAGGCGTCGGAGGAGCATGGTGTGCTCGGATGGCACGCCTTGTGCCCTGGCCACCTCTGCTTTGGGCAATGATGGGCCCCAAGTCTTTCTCGAAGAGCGGAGCCGTGCCTTGTAGAGGAGATGGCCGTTGTACTGGCTGCTGTTCTGTGGAGGGAGCGTGCGCGAGACGCGCCGCGGGCCCACGTCTGGACAAGTCCAGCTGTGGACGAGCATTGCGAAACGCAGGGTGGCCCTTAGCATCCACCTTTCTGGGCTTGTCAGATGCAGGTGCGAGACGCGCCGCGGGCCCACGCCTGGACCAGTCCAGTTGTGGACGAGCATTGCGAAACGCTAGGTGGCCCTTTAGCATCCACCTTTCTGGGCTTGTCAGAATGCAGGTGCGAGACGCGCCGCGGGCCCACGCCTGGACAAGTCCAGTTGTGGACGAGCATTGCGAAACGCCGCTGGGTGGCCCTTGGTGCGAAACGCGCCGCGGGCCCACGCCTGGACAAGTCCAGTTGTGGACGAGCATTGCGAAACGCCTGAGTGGCCCTTGTAGCATCCACTTTGTGGGGCTGTGACGCTGTGATGAAGGCAGGGTAGCAGACAGTTTCAGTGTCAGACACGCGCGCGAACGGACTCACGCACACATGCGCACAAACACCGGGGCGCAACACGCGCTCGTGCGGAGGTGCGTGGGTGCGTACAGTGCACGCGCAGTGCACGCGCAGTGCACGCACAGTGCACGCTGCGTTGCACGGGGTCCAAAGTGCCGCCACTGCCATGTATTTGGCAAACCTGGTGCAGAATTCAAGAAAACTCTAATTTTCTTCTTGTTGTAAATCTGGAACAGAAAGCACCGATCCATGGGTATTTGCGGTGTTCTGTGACGGTGCACTGTGGCGTGCTCTGTGGAGTGCACTATGCGTGCACTGTGGAGTGCACTATGCGTGCACTGTGGAACCTGTGTTTGCAATTGCAGGCCAACGAACGCCTGCAATCAGGCAGCTGGCAGGTGCATCTCTGTCATGGAACTCGTGCTGAAACCGTTGTTTCTTCAGCTCACTGCTTCCGTGGCTGCAGGCTCTGTTACCTGCCCTCTTGAAAGAAGCCACCTTTGGCGGCCAAAACAAGCTGACACCGACGTTTCATGTCACCCATGCTAGCCCGAATAAATGCCGCCGGCAGCTTCTTGGCTGTTCGACGCAGCCGAGCAGCAAACTGTGCGCGGGTCTCTCGCTTGGAAGCCGCCCACTTCCGCTCTTGGCGGCGCATCCGGCGATTGATCTCGCTCCATATGGCATAATCCATAACACTCAAATCCGGGCTCCTGCGCGGGATTTCCAATGCATCCAGGCGGGCAGCTCTCTTCGCCGCCACGCCTCGTTTGGACTTGAATCCCGTCGGGTCATTGTCTTCGAGAATGCAGAATCGTCTTTTGGTAGGCCTTTCCCTTTCCCTCTCAAGGCTGGAAGCCAAGCTGGTGTACATAGAAGCAGCAGCTATGCCATTCCAACGAGAATTCCGGACTTGATGCCACATGAGCATTCTACCACGGCCAACCCCAGCAACTATCAAAATGCTGCGGGCACCAGTGTTGTAATTCAGGGTGCCCTTAGGCTTCACATACCCTCTGTCCAGACCTTTGCCCTTCGCCCTGTAAGCGCCAACTGTTGCCCTTTTGGCAGCGCGGGCTCTGGCCTCCCCAGTAAGATTGGCCTTGAAGAATTTCCCATCAATTGCAGCATCAAGACGTTCTGCCCACCAGCTTACTGACTTGGACTTGTATTTGCGCGCAAATGCCAGCCGCGCTTTCACATCAGCATTTGTCAAAAGCGGTTTTTCTCGAAGTCTCCGAAAGTACACTCCTGCCTTGTGCAAGGCCCGCTGGATGCTTTTGACTGACTGTTTCAGATTGCATGCTTTCTTCAACATGGCAGCAGTCACCGTGTAGCGAGCATCTGCCTTCTGCACCAATTCTGTGAGCTTTCGCTTCAAGAAAGCTACCTTGGCAGGAGTAAGCAGGAGAGGCCGCCCCTGGGCCTTGCGCCCAACTTGCTTCACCAAAAGTCGGGTGATGACAGACTTGTCCCTTCCAAGCTTGTCTGCTATTTCTTTACAGGATTCACCATCTTCATACCACTCCGACGCCAAACGAATCTCCTCAGTGGACAGCTTGGTCCAGCCAGCTTCTGGCATGGCTAACACAAGGACTGTTCAACTACACCAGCCAAACAGCTGTCAAGCACAGGAGCAAATCCTGCAAGGAGACACTTGCAGAGATGTGCGCTGCGTGTTGCACTTCTTCTGTCTTCCAGTGTGAGCGCGCACGCATGTATGTGTGTGTGTGCTCTCTGTGTGTCCGGCGCGCTCTCGTTCGACACAAAAACTTGACCAACCCCGACATGCGCACACACACACACACCAATGGCAGACGAGTGAAGGTGGGAGACTCAGATGTGTTGTGTTTCAGGCGCTCTGCAATCATTTGCAGAAGCATGTGGGTGACAAGCAGACGCAGACATTTTGTTTTCACTGTCTCATTGGAGAAACATGTGGATGACAAGCAAAAAGCTCTCCGTGAGAAGTACCCCGGTAAAGGTGCAGCATCCGATCAGACGGGTTTTGCAATCCGAGGCTTCGACAACGATGTGTCACGAATTTGAAACGCGTTGATCCATTGGCGACCGTTTTGCGAATTTGAAAAGTGTTGAATTAAAGTCCATACCGGAGTACCAAATTTGAAAAGCACCGAGCACACTCAGTAATATGCTTGCTAGAGGGAGGCAAGGGCTTGACAAAGCGGTAGATCTTGAGGCGTCGGAGGAGCATGGTGTGCTCGGATGGCACGCCTTGTGCCCTGGCCACCTCTGCTTTGGGCAATGATGGGCCCCAAGTCTTTCTCGAAGAGCGGAGCCGTGCCTTCGTAGAGGAGATGGCCGTTGTGCTGGCTGCTGTTCTGTGGAGGGAGCGTGCGCGAGACGCGCCGCGGGCCCACGTCTGGACAAGTCCAGCTGTGGACGAGCATTGCGAAACGCAGGGTGGCCCATAGCATCCACCTTTCTGGGCTTGTCAGATGCAGGTGCGAGACGCGCCGCGGGCCCACGCCTGGACCAGTCCAGTTGTGGACGAGCATTGCGAAACGCTAGGTGGCCCTTTGGCATCCACCTTTCTGGGCTTGTCAGAATGCAGGTGCGAGACGCGCCGCGGGCCCACGCCTGGACAAGTCCAGTTGTGGATGAGCATTGCGAAACGCCGCTGGGTGGCCCTTGGTGCGAAACGCGCCGCGGGCCCATGCCTGGACAAGTCCAGTTGTGGACGAGCATTGCGAAACGCCTGAGTGGCCCTTGTAGCATCCACTTTGTGGGGCTGTACGCTGTATAAGGCAGGGTAGCAGACAGTTTCAGTGTCAGACACGCGCGCGAACGGACTCACGCACACATGCGCACAAACACCGGGGCGCAACCCGCGCTCGTGCGGAGGTGCGTGGGTGCGTACAGTGCACGCGCAGTGCACGCGCAGTGCACGCACAGTGCACGCTGCGTTGCAACGGGGTCCAAAGTAGCCGCCACTGCATGTATTTTTGGCAAACCTGGTTGCAGAATATCAAGAAAACTCTAATTTTTCTTCTTGCTGTAAATCTGGAACAGAAAGCACAGTTCCTGGGTATTTGCGTGTTCTGTGACGGTGCACTGGTGGCGAGCTCTGTGGGAGTGCACTATGCCGGTGCACTGTGGAGTGCACTATGCGTGCACTGTGGAACCTGTGTTTGCGATTGCAGGCCAACGAACGCCTGCAATCAGGCAGCTGGCAGGTGCATCTCTGTCATGGACCTCGTGCTGAAACCGTTGTTTCTTCAGCTCACTGCTTCCGTGGCTGCAGGCTCTGTTACCTGCCCTCTTGAAAGAAGCCACCTTTGGCGGCCAAAACAAGCTGACACCGACGTTTCATGTCACCCCTGCTAGCCCGAATAAATGCCGCCGGCAGCTTCTTGGCTGTTCGACGCAGGCCTGAAGCAGCTAAACTGTGCGTCGGGTCTCTCGCTTGGAAGCCGCCCACATTCCGCTCTTTGGCGGCGCCAATCGGCGATTGTCACGCTCCATAATGGCAATAATCCATAACACTCAAATCCGGGCTCCTGCGCGGGATTTCCAATACATCCAGGCGGGCAGCTCTCTTCGCCGCCACGCCTCGTTTGGACTTGAATCCCGTCGGGTCATTGTCTTCGAGAATGCAGAATCGTCTTTTGGTAGGCCTTTCCCTTTCCCTCCCAAGGCTGGAAGCCAAGCTGGTGTACATAGAAGCAGCAGCTACGCCATTCCAACGAGAATTCCGGACTTGATGCCACATGAGCATTCTACCACGGCCAACCCCAGCAACTATCAAAATGCTGCGGGCACCAGTGTTGTAATTCAGGGTGCCCTTAGGCTTCACATACCCTCTGTCCAGACCTTCGCCCTTCGCCCTGTAAGCGCCAACTGTTGCCCTTTTGGCAGCGCGGGCTCTGGCCTCCCCAGTAAGATTGGCCTTGTAGAATTTCCCATCAATTGCAGCATCAAGACGTTCTGCCCACCAGCGTACTGACTTGGACTTGTATTTGCGCGCAAATGCCAGCCGCGCTTTCACATCAGCATTTGTCAAAAGCGGTTTTTCTCGAAGTCTCCGAAAGTACACTCCTTCCTTGTGCAAGGCCCGCTGGATGCTTTTGACTGACTGTTTCAGAGTGCATGCTTTCTTCAACATGGCAGCAGTCACCGTGTAGCGAGCATCTGCCTTCTGCACCAATTCTGTGAGCTTGTCGCTTCAAAAAGCTACCTTGGCAGGGTAAAGGCAGGAGAGCCGCCCCTGGCCTTGCGCCCAACTTCCGCACCAAAAGTCGGGTGATGACAGACTTGTCCCTCCAAGTGGTCTGACTATTCTCTAACAGGAATTCACCATCTTCATACCACTCCCCGACGCCTAACGAATCTCCTCAGTGGACAGCTTGGTCCAGCCAGCTTCTGGCATGGCTAACACAAGGACTGTTCAACTACACCCGCCAAACAGCTGTCAAGCACAGGAGCAAATCCTGCAAGGAGACACTTGCAGAGATGTGCGCTGCGTGTTGCACTTCTTCTGTCTTCCAGTGTGAGCGCGCACGCATGTATGTGTGTGTGGCTCTCTGTTGTCGGCGCGCTCTCGTTCACACAAAAACTTGTTAGAAACAGACATGGCACACACCACACAACACACAC